GTAAATCCGGCCGTGGGTAGGTGGCGGGTCCCCTACCCCCCACCTACCCCCCACTGACCATTTTCACAACTTTTTCGTCCCGGGAACCGATGTGGAACCCGAAACCATGCTTAGACACTTTACAACGTAATTCACGGCAACACGTAGACAATTAACGGATCAAATACGAGAAACGAGCGACACTTATCCTATCATGCTTTTCTAAACATAATCAACACCCAAACATGCGATTTCCCCACCCGATCATCCAAGAATAATATCATACGATACAACCTAGGGTTCTAATTACTTTTATACCAATCAAGAGTACGATTCGTCTTCTAATTGCAAGATTCGGTAAGAATAACACATAAGCATCAAGAACAACATACAACTATCAAGAACAACACATAATCATCAAGTATTCCATATAATCATCAAGATCCCCATATAATCATCAAGAACACCATAATTATCAAGAATCTCCCAATATCAAGATTATCAAGATCCCCCATGGGATCATCACATCAATCATCCATAATAATCATCACAAATCATTAATACACAATAATATGGGGAAACCCTAAGGGCGGAATCATACCTATGAAAATAGGTTTTGTTGAGACATGGGTTACCTCTTAGCCTTAATTAATTCCTTGGCTATGAAGGATCTTTCTTTAAGCTTTCTTGATTTCTTGATTTCTCCTACGGGAATTCTTGGAGCTCTGTGGGTGGTGAGAGATTATTGTGGTGGGAATTCTAAATTCCTTCTAAGTTCTCTATTTATATGCCATGGGGTTTAATCCTCCTAGGATTAGGTAATGGGCTTTAGGGATGGGGGTCCACGGACTATGGTGGGCCTATTTCCCAACTTAATCATAATAAATTATTCTTTCATATGGGTCATAGATTAATTAGTTACTTGGTCTTAGGAGCCGTAACACGGGGTGTTACAACCACCCCTCACCGAACCGACACTAGAACGCCGCTCGCCGTCGCCTCCCTCGAAAACGGAGAAAACCGCCACCGGGAAACTCACCGGAAACTCGCCGTCGGGGACCCACCGGAAAAGTCATCGGAAAAACGTCATCTACCCCAAAATGCCGAAGAAACCCCTCGGAACCCGCACCCCGAAGTGGAGCAACACCGATTACACCGTGATCGGAGGTAAAACCCTTGAACCCGACAAATTTTCTCCGGAATTGGTTGATATGCTTAAACATCAAGGGCTTTTAGATACATATCTCTCCATCAAAGGGGATACATACCCCGAATTGGTGAAAGAATTCTATCAACACCTTGTAGCCACCAAATGGGGTGACAAAATAGAAATCACCACCAAAGTCCGTGGCAAGGAAATTGTGCTTTCCGAAGGCCGTTTGGCCAAGCTCTTGAAATTGACCACCACGGGTGTGTCTAACTACGACTGAAAGGGGTGGATTGATACCCAAACCACGGGGTACAAGGACTATCTCGGGTACCTACTCGGGAAGGAAGACGGGTTCACCTCGGCCACACGACCAAACCGGAAGTGGCTATCGGCGGAGCAAAAGATATTGGTTATGATTGTAACCGATAGCCTCTTGCCCACCAATAATAAGAGCAAGGACGTAGGGAAACTAGAGTGTACCTTTGCTTATCTCCTGAAACATAAAATCAAGTTCAACCTGCCGGCACTCATGCTAAAGCACATAGAATTCTGCAACACAAACAACCGGCTTAGCCTACCCTACGGGATGATCCTAAGTTGGATCATGGAGAAGAAGGGGGTGGACCTAAGCCACACCGAGGTCAAGACCGCAAATGGCATGGTTTTTAATGCCCAGAACCTCCGCCACAACGACATCTACTACACTGAAGGGGGACATTACCTCACCCTCGAAAAAATTTGCCAAAAACCCGAGGAGGAACGAAGGGAATTGGTCGACCAATTGGACATCTCCAACAAAAAGCTCAAGCGAGCCATGCAAGATTGTGGGGGTTTGGACGGAAATGAGGAACAGGAGGAGGATGACGAGCCTAACCCGTCGGTGCACCCACGGGCGGGAGGGGACCCGAGGGGACAAAACGAGGGCTCGGTCAATGAACGCATACTCGCACAACTCAACCGACAGAATCAAATCATGGAAGAAGGGTTCTCATCCTTGATTCGCACCACGCGCGCACTCGATCAGAGGGTAGCAGCATTCGAAGCCACCTTGGGCACTCGCGGAGCACCTAGTTCCAGCACAGGAAACCGAGGTACACCCGAACCTTCACTATCATGACACCACCAGAAGCCCAGCCTACCCCGAGCCAAGACAAACATAGGGCCGTGTTCCTAACCGGAAGGCCAAGATACGAGATGTCTAGGGGTGAGGGAATGTGCCATCACACCGGGCTTCGGGACGAAGCCCCTTGTAAGGGGGGGAGAGTGTAACACCGGTGTCACTAAATAATTTTTTGTTTTCATAATTAAGTGTCTCTAAATATTTTATAATTACATTATTATATTTTTATAATTATCATTTAATTATATTTCTTCAAAATCTTTATATTCAAATGCGTATTGGAATCAAAAATAAAATCTATGTACCCATTTAATTAAAAAAAATCAATTGTAACTAATATTTATCAAATAATAATATTCAATAGTATTAAAAGAAGTAGCTTCTCAGCTTAGACATTTCTTCTATGGTCTTTAACTGTAATACATTTTCATTCCTGACAGTTCAAAACATTATTCTTCAAATGCAGATAGACCAACATAATCTACAATCTCAGTCCTTGACATTTTTAAAACCTCTGGTCATATTTATGAAGTTCTGCATTCACTTTCTCCTCATCCCACATAAACCCTTGAATGTATGTTCTACAAGGAAGATTAAACATATTCAATAATTTAGGATCTTTAATCCATTAGTAAGTTGTGTAAGAAGTTTGCTGGTGAAAGCAACAGAGGTAATCACCTGAACCCACTCAAAATAGCAGCCTTTGGTGGATAGACCAACATAATCTACAACTTCTTTCTTTGCTAAAATCTGCAGAATACATTACATTATCTTCATTTATCAATGGGTTTGAAATTCTTATTACACCTTGATCATAACTACCCAAACACAAAACCAATGATATAACAATGGTGAAAACTTAACAGCAATATATATATATATATATATATATATATATATATATATATATATATATTTTTAAACAGCAAGATTGAATCAATTTCCTGGGTATGCTATCTTAGCAAAGAGGAAGTAAATCGCAAGAAGTGTATCAACTGGCCTACAGACCTCCAAATGCTTAAAGCTACACCTCTAACAAAGCAAACCTCTCAACTTATTTATAAATGCATGTACTTCCAATACATGACACTATTTATCATCAATCACAGAATAAACAAACTTGAGAAGGGAAAATTACTCAGAAACAGTTGGAAGATATATATATATATATATATATGATGCAAGCAGACACATACATACATCTTAATATGGATGGTTGGTTAATAAATTAAAGTTGCAATACTACCTCAGGACTCAGGAGCCATCCAGGGAAAGCTTCCAACATCAGCAGAAAAATCACCTTCCAGACCCTCCCTACACAGCCCAAAGTCCCCAAGCTTCACACTCTTCTTGCTTTCTGATAGAAAAATATTATCTGCAATCTAAGAAGATTAATTAGCTTGATGACTAATAAGCAAAATAGCTAGCAGCAAAAGTTAGGCCCGCAGAAAATTATTTACTGGGCTTCAAGTCGCGATGAATGATGCCATTTTCATGTAAATATGTCATTGCGCGAGAGATTTGTAATGCCATAACATCCTTAGACTTTCTATTTCCAGAAATAGATAGATATTAGAGTAATTATGCATGATAAACTATTAACCAACCTAAAATGACTCGGTTGGAAGAAAGCAGATTATTTGCATAATCGAGTGAGTTCTTCTACTCTAGCATACCTACACATCAAATAAAAAAACAAATTTCAGTTTGAGTTAAGTTGAAGGGTTAGTGATCTCAAAGAATAAAACAGAAATGAACAAAAAATAAGAAGAAAAAGAGTAAAGCTCTAGGAGAGCAAGCATGTTGACCTGTATAATTTAATCATTATCTGCTCTTTCAATTCCGCTATCAACAACAATGGTTATTTCATCATTTAGTTCTTCTCTTGTTAACTGCAAATTTTCAATCTCATTTAAAACCACAGGATTTTGGTTTTCACTTGAGATTGAAGTACAATCATATACGCTACTGTCTGCATTTTCACCCATGTCAAAAAAGTCTCTTGGTTTGAAAGGTATTGCAACATTCCAATCTTTCTCCAACTCATTAGTGACATAAAACACCATCTGAGCTTGTTCAGCTAACACATATGGTTCATCATCTATACTATCTCCAACATGTATTGTTCTAGAGAAGTTAACTTCGGTGAAGCCATAATGATCTCTTCTTATCCCTCTTGGAGTAGTCGTATCAGCCCATATACACTTAAATAGTGTAACCACAAATTTGCTGTAGTAATTCAGTTCAATGATGTCAACCAATTTTCCATAATAAGCAACATCTCCAAAAACCCCATGAGTATCACGACTACTTGCAACACTTGGAGTTCCAGCAATAACAAATACTCCACTATTTTGAGACTTCAGTCCTTCTTCTCGGTTCACTGTTCGAAATCTTAAACCATTAATGTTATACGAAGAAAATCTTGTAGCATGAGTAAGTGGACCTCTTGCTAAAAACATAATGTCATCTGGCACTTGCTCTTGATTGTCATTATTTAGGATCTAAAACATAATGATATTGTATTAGTAAATTAATTTTGAAGTAAAATATTGATTTGAGGTGAAATTCTTACTCTCTTTGCAAACCAATTGGAAAAATCTCTATTAACTATTTTTTGAATCTCAGCAGAAGATCTCGTCCGCCTTCTTAGTCATCTCTTCGTTAAAACTGTAAATTCCCTGTATGTGATAACAACACAATTGAAATAATATGTTATTTCTCACCAAAATACAAAATTTTGGATGTTACTTACTCAACGTATTTGTCAACATGTTTGCAATTCATTAGCACATATCGATGTGCTTGTTGTTTCTCTATATCAGTTAGTTGGAAAGTTAAAACACTGCCTACTGGTCGACCAATTTGTTTGAAGATATTGCTTTGAATATTTTCAGCATAAAATGGCACATCATCAACACGCCTAGATCGGTTAAACCTTGTTTCAACCCCTTCTAAATACCTTGAGCAAAATGTAAGACATTCTTCAGCAATATAACCTTCAGCTATTGAACCTTCTGGGTTCGCTCGGTTGCGTACAAAAGACTTTAAATGTCCTAAGTACCTAAATATATAGGAATAAGACATTAGTAGATGCATTTATCGATAATCTAATAAAGAAAACTTTAAATAATCAAAATTTAGTCACCTCTCAATGCTGTACATCCATCGGTATGGAACAGGACCTCCAAGCTTAACCTCATCAACAAGGTGAACAACTAAATGCACCATTACTGTGAAAAATGATGGTGGAAATATCATTTCCATATGGCATAATGTTAGCACAAGTCGACTTTGAAGGTTATCAAGCTCTTTGACATTTAATACTCTACTACATATTTGTCTGAAAAAAAAACCCAATTCTACCAAAACCATACAAACTTGATCTGGTAATAGATTACGTATGGCAATTGGCAATAGATGTTCCATAAGAATGTGACAATCATGACTTTTCAATCCATGTATCTTGCGATTCTTCAAATCAACACATCTTGAAATATTACTTGAGTAACCATCTGGCAGTAATACACTCTTTAGTGTTGCAAGAAATACATCTTTTTCTATATTTGTCATTGTAAAACAACTTGGAGAGTATTTTCCATTTTCATTAGGCCAAAGGTCATCTCTTATACCCATTGACACTAAATCCATTCGAGCATTTAGATTATCTTTTGATCTTGCAGGGTCATTTAGCAAAGTAAACAACACATTGTCAAAAACATTTTTTTCAATATGCATGACATCAAGGTTGTGGCGCAACAAATTGAATTCCCAATAAGGGAGTTGGAAAAATATACTTCTCTTCTTCCATTGTTGCGTATCACCATCTTCAACTCTTCTCACTCGTGATCTTTTCCCCTTCTCACTCATTTCTAGGTTTTTCCCAAATGAGTGAGAAGAGTTGAGTGATCTTCAACTCTTCTCACTCGTGTAATATTGATATCCGCAAGCTGATTCAAAACATCTGAACCTGACAACATCTTTGGCGGACTTTTCAAATCTTTGGTTCCATCAAATTTAGAGTTGTGATGTCTATACCGATGAGAAGACCCTAAGAACCGACGATGACCCATAAAACACCACTTCCTACTATGTAGAAGGCGATTTGGCAAAAAATCAAAGTTGCATGAGGGGCATGCTAGCCCAGTATGTGTATTCCACCCAGATAAGTTACCTAGCCCAGGAAAATCACTAATGGTCCACATTAGAGCTGCATGTAGTTTAAAAAACTGACCCTGTGAAGCATCAAATGTTTCTATTCCAAAACTCCACAACTCATTTAACTCTTTAATCAATGGTTGCATGTAAATATCTATATCATTCCCTGGCATCTTTTTCCCAGGAATAATCATAGACAAAATAAATGAGGTTTGTTTCATACATATCCATGGAGGCAAATTATAAGGAATTAAAATCACAGGCCAAGTGCTATGAGTAGAACTTTGATGTCCAAATGGATTGAAACCATCCGCAGCTAACCCAAGTCTAACATTTCGTGGGTCAGCAGCAAATTCTACATGGACTTCATTAAATCGCTTCCATGATTCAGAGTCTCTAGGATGTCGCATCAACCCATCTCTGTTACTATCCATAGCATGCCATCTCATATATTCAGCAGTTTTAGAAGACATAAACAACCGTTGCAACCTAGGCTTAAGAGGGAAGTAACGCAACACTTTAGAAGGTTTCTTTTTAAACTTGCTACCACAACGCACATCACCACCATTCTTCCCGTTTGGTTGTTTCCATCTTGAAGTATGACATACTTTGCATGTTTCTGCAGCTTTATCATCTCCCCAGTATAGCATGCAATCATTTGGACATGCATGAATGCTAACATAATTAAGACTAAGTCTATTGATGGTTTTTTTTTTTTGCCTCATAGAAAGAATCAGGAAGCCTTGCTTGTTCAAAAGCATCTTTTAACAATTCAAAAATCATAGACATTGCTTTATTGCTTATTCCACCCAAGCACTTGATGTGGTACAACTTCAACAAAAATGATAATTTTGAGTACTTGCTACACCCTTCATACAACTCTTGATTTCCATCTTTGAGCAACTCATAAAATATTTTACTGTCTTCACTATCCTCTCTAGGTAATACTCCATCCCGAAGTAGTGTTTGTTGTGATGTTGAAGGTTCATTTATACCATGTGAAATATGTGTAAAAGCATCATGAATGAATGATATTTACTTCAGGATTCTCAATTTGCACATTAGTAGGCACAACATTAGGAGTGCTACTAAAAGTGTCTAAAGATCGCCCTTCACCATGCCAAATCCAATTAACATATCCAGGTACAATCCCATCACAAATTAAATGTTCTTTCACGTCAAATTTATATAACCAATACCTAAATTTACACTTCACACAAGGAAACAATATTCTTCCTTCAATACATCTATGCTCAAGAGCAAAATCAATTAATTTGTTTACCCCTTCTATATATTCCAAAGTATTTCGCTGCAAATTAACCCAAGATTTATCCATGCATAATCTCTATATGAAGATTTTTCAAACTTTAGTAGTTTAGCATACAAGATCTACAAAGAGAAAGAAAGATGAATTGTCATATGTATAGAATGATAAGACCACATATATGCATATAGAGAGAGAAAGCGGAGGATATATAGAGAGATCAATTTTAGGAATGCATCTTGCTTTGTAATGTGAATTGCTTTATATGTTGTGTTGTGTTGTTCCAACATTGAGATGTGGGTGAAAAGATGGAAATAACCCAAAAAAGAAATTAACTTATGATTTAAGATGGTTAATGAAAACAGCCGATAAAATGGTTACTAGCATTTTATCTTATGATTTAAGTTTTGTTGTTAAAATAGCTGCGGTTAATATAACTGCCACTAAATAAAGAACATGCAGAGAGAATTTACTTCAAAGAATCACAAATAATTAAAAGGAACAATTGCTGAAAAATGGACTACTAACTTGAACAAGGCAACAGATTCATGCTTATATATATAACAGAATTTTGATACCAAAAAGGGAAGGAAACTCACTCAAGAATGTATTCAGGTTCATGCATAAAGTTTTTCAACCTTGCTTCAAACACATTACGTGCCACCTGCATGAATACACAAAAATTATAAAATACACAAAGGGGACACACTAGAATTGAGAATTTGAGGAATTAGTTCACCTTAGCTTATATCCTTGTTAAGACAGAATTCAACAGTAATAAAAGAATAGATAATCTTACCATATAACCTTAGTCTGTAGAACAAACACAGATAACTAAAAATGAAAGAGATAAGAAGATAACTTGAGAAGTGGCAATAAAGATGCAATCTTGGATAGCTTTTGTATTCCAAGTCTATAGGCAGTAAAAAACATTAATAACCCCAAAGAAGGAATAATTCAACAGTAAGATTAACAACTATAAGTCTTGTTTAAATCACAATGATACCTGCACCGAGTAGAGAGTAGTCTCTAGTATTAACCTATCAAAATTTCATTTTCAATCAAACTGAAAGCAGGGGATGGGTCTAACATTTTTATCGAATAGAATGGCTCATATGTTTATGGTCTACCAAATTAGTATGATAAACAGAAAATGCAAGGCAAGTAGGCAGTTTATTTTTGGCTCATTTCAACTGAAAACACGTTTAATGCTGAACTTTTGTAAAGATAGGAATAGAAAGAGAACTCACCGAGGAATCCTTATGCTTGTGGCTTTTACTTTTATGCTTTTCTCCTGACTTCTCTGAAATGATATCATCAGTCAGTATGACTATGGCTTTCAAACCACACAGCACCAATTCATAGGAGAATAATTTAATTTAAGCATACAAATTATATAGAAGAAACACAATTCCAACCAAATTAGCGAGATTGACACTCAAAATTCAAAAACAAATCGGCAACTCACTGAAATTTCGCGCAAAAGGATAGGAATTCATAGAAACTTGATTTACTACAATTCCTACAAAAAATATATAACAATACATGCCAATATGATTGGCTTAAGCTGTTTTTTGTAGAATTGTACAATTCATGCCAAATGCCAACTCTAAATTAAAATTGCAGTTCCTGCAACAAATACAAATGAAAATTTTCTTTATCAAGTACTTTCAAAGCTCTTGGAAAATGTAAGGAACAACACCCTGTAGACAATATGACAAACACCTTGAATGCAATTGCTACAAAAAAACTAATCTGTTAACAATCCTAAATTAGCATAAGAATTCAAGTTCCAATAGAGATAATCAATCAAATTGCAAAAAACATTCAAAAAGAAATTTAAAATAATCCTCAAAAGTTAAAAACTAAATTCATAAATTCTCACAAACACTGTTTGAGAACAAAATCAGTGAGAAATTCACAGGAGTCACAAACCTTACAGTGACGCCGTGGAGCAAATTAAACTAAGGAGACGCCGACAGGTAGGAGCAGACGGAGGACTAGAGGAGACGGAGGGTCTCTGGCGAGTGGACTGGAATTTTCCCCCCTTTGCTTCTGCTAAATTAGTGTTCGTTTGTTGTTCTTCTTCCTCGCAGCTGCTCTTCACTCAACGTTGAAAACTCAATATCCTCCGCAAATAATATATATCTATATTAGAAATTAGAAATTACTTTTTTAAAAAATATTTTAGCGGCGGTTATGATGAACCGCCGCAAGTAAATGACACTAACAATTAATTATTTAGATTTCTATTTTTGCTAACAATTAGTTATTTAGGTTTCTTATATTAAATTAGCGGCGGTTTCTAAACCGCCTCAAAATAGTCATTTAGAGGCAGTTATGTATAACCGCCACTAAATATATGTCGCTAAATAGTCAGTTTGTTGTAGTGACCCCGTGTTACGACCCCTAAAACCAATTAATTAACTAACCCATAGCCCAAGAGAAAGAATAAATTATAACAATAAATTAGGGAAAAAGGCCCACCATAGTCCGTGGGCCCTCATCCCTAAACCCAACTCCTAGTCCTAAAAGGATTAGACCCTAAATAAGACCCTTAGATATATAAATAGGGAACCTAGGAGGCAACTAGAATTCCCACCACAATAATCTCTCAGCATCCAAAGATTTCCAAGAATTCCCTTAGGAGAAATCAAGAAAGCAAGAAAGCTTAAAGAAAGATCCTTTATAGCCAGGGAATTAATTAAGGCTAAGAGGTAACCCATGTCTCAACAAAACCTATTTTCAAAGCTATGCTTCTCCTCTTAGGATTTCTCCATATTATTGTGTATTGATGATCTGTGATATTATTATTGATGATTGGTGTGATGATTCCATGGGTGATCTTGATGATCTTGATGATGAGAGGTTCTTGATAATTATGGTGTTCTTGATGATTATGTGGCGTTCTTGATGATTATATGATATTCTTGATAATTCTATGATGTTCTTGATGTTTATGTGGTATTCTTACCGAATCTTGATATTAGAAGATGAATTATGTTCTTGTTGATTTAAAAGTGATTAGAACCCTAGGTTGTATCGGATGATATTATTCTTGATGTATTGGGTGGGAATTTACATGTTGGGTGTTAATTATGTTTAGAAAAGCATTATAGGGTATGTGTCGTATGTTCTTACTTTTGGATCCGTTAATTGTTGACGTGTTGTCGTCAATAGCGTTTGAAAGTGTCTAAGCATGGTTTCGGGTTCCACAATGGTTCCCGGGGCGTTTTCTGTGATGAAAGAGTCAGTGGGGGGTAGGTGGGGGTAGGGGACCCGCCACCTATCCGCGGCCAATTAGGGCAACGCCGGCAGAAGGCAGCCGGCGGGTGGGCAGCTGCCCGCCGGGCACCCGCTACCCGAAAAGTATGCCGTCGGCGGGTGACCCCTCACCCACCGACTACCCGCTGGTTTGTACCCCACCTTGGGTTTTTGGCTTTCCCGT